TCGATTAATCGGCTTCCGATCAGTTGGCCCTGTTCACGGCTCCACACAAGCCGTGCGCCGCACCTCCTCCCCACCTCACACTCGCCGCTGCCAGACCCGCCTGCATCCACGCTCTTTACGCCGCACCTCCTCCCCGCCTCACATTCACCGCCGATCGGCACAGGGACGCGGGGAGATGTAGTAAGGAGGTGCAGGTGTGGGGGGATGACAGCCGCTGATAGACAGGTCCGATCTCAGAAGCAATTTGCTGGAAGACTGTGCTCAGGTAAGCCTGCACTTTCCCACACATGGTACTCTATAATGTATTGCTGGGATTTGTATTCCTCTATAGCTGATGGTACATTGTGCTGTATATTATACAGCGCAATGTACCATCAGCTATAGAGGAATACAAATCCCAGCGATACATTATACACTGTATGTATAATGTATTGCTGGGATTTGTTGTATCCCTGGTATATAGCTGGTGATATTCTGCACTGCACTGTATAGAGGACTACAAATCAAGGAATAATACATTATACAGCGCAATGCGGAATACCACCAGCTATAGAGGACTACAAAACCCAAACAAAAAAAACAGTACATTATACAGCGCCCAGCAGAATACCGCCAGCTATAATGTATTATTGCTGAGATTTGTTGTAATCCTCTATAGCTGGTGAAATTCTGCATTGCTCTGTATAATGTACTATTGCTGGGATTTGTATTCCTCTATAGTCGGTGCCATTCTGCATTCATTGCTGTATAATTTTACACTTTCCTTTTCAATATATTGCACACCACACTATTTTTTTTCTTTTTTACTTCCACCGCTCCAAGCTTGCTCCTGTGATGGAGTGCAATCTCAATACAAGCTAGTAGTCCATCACTGGAGCCATTTTTTACATTTTATTTTATTATTTATCCGATTAACCGAACTTAATAATCGGCTAACTAATCGATTTTTAAAATAATCGTTAGCTGCAGCTCTAGGGGTAACCTTTTTATCCCATTGTTCTCTTTAGGGTCACGGGAGGACATATACTAGCGTCCTCCCGTGACCCAAAGCTCAGTATATAGCGAGCTATTGCCCGCAATATACTGAGAGAGCTGCAGCCGGGACGGATCCCGACAATACCGCCGAGATCCACCCAGCTGCGTGAGTGACAGCGGGCTCTTCCTATCTAGAGGTAGAGCCAGCTGTGCCCGCCCCCTCCCTCGTTTGTTCCTCCTCTCACCGCTGGAGGATCAGAGGGGAGGGGGGACAGTCACCACTTTCTGCAGGGAGACGATCGGGAAGTGAGCGGATCGGCTGCATGTTTCTGCTCACTTCCCGATCGATAGAGCCGACCTGTGACAGCTTCTTTGTCACAGGTCGGCTCTCACTATGAGGATGAGTGCAAATCACTCCCCTCATAGTTCTCCTTTAATTCTCCCCCTACCAACACCTGAAGCAAAAGCTACTTATGGGTCTGTGGGAGCATGTGACTCTCGCCCCTATTTCCAATGATGCAGAGCTGGGTGCATGAGAAAAAACAATCAGTAGCACCATGAAGTCAACTAAGAATTCTCCATCATATCAAAGTGTGCTTGATAAGAATATGAGGCCATCTGTGCAAAAGATTAACCGAGAGTGAATCGTTTACCGCGATAATGTTTAGAAGCACCATAACAAGAATGAATCCACCAATGAATGGGCCAAAAAGAAGAAATAAGAGGGTTATGGTTTGACTCCCATTTTGGAGCGGGGGTGTTGAAATGGGCAGCTCCTGCAAGGAAACCCACAAACATCTTGCAACTGAAGGAAGTGGACCAAAATGTTGATGTTGAAGACTGCTGGGTAGATATACAAAATGCCCACAGGAAGTCATTTCTGCTAAAGGGGGGCAATGCCAGCGTCTGAGGCCAAGACTGTACCTACCAGAAAACCATTACATTTACTGATATTTTTGTTATACAATTGCTGGAAAATGCTGACTTTTCTTGTCTGCTAAAAACCCCTATTATGAGTCTAGAAGTGTATTTTGGACCATGCCGCACCCAAGCTCTAAACCCAGAAAGAAGCCATCAGTGTCGGCCAGGGAATTCCCCGCCCCACAGCTGCATGTAAACAAAGGGGCGGGATGCTGGTGACATAATCGACCTTATGTGGTCACATTAACCTAATATAGCCATGTGACTATATAAGGTCAATGATGTCACCAGCATCCCACCCCTTTGTTTACATGCAGCCACAGGGAGAGGAATACCCTGGCCATGGCCGATTGGACGGGCATCGGCGGCTTTTTTAGGGTCTCGTTGTTGTGGGGCATGGAATGTTCCAGCAGCCACTGATTGGTCTGCGAAAGAGTGGTGTGGTAATAGTCATGATATGTGTGTCTGGCTCTCCTTTTGGTTCATACACACACAGACCATACACAGGTTCGAATTAAAATATTAGAAAAACTGGCTGAAACCAATGCAGGTGCCTCTTTCTGCTGGACACCCCAAACACCTCCCCCAGCAGGCACTGTTATTTCTATTACAGTAAATGTATCCTCCCTGATATTCCTGGGAAGCCCTAGATTGTATATAAAATTCCCACAATGCCCTGCACAGCACCAGATCTATACATGGATTGTGAACCCCAAAGGTTCAGGTCAGAGTTTTCATGCAGCATTGTGATTTCAATGCAAGCAACCCATGGCTCTTCAGGTAAATCAGGGAACAACTAGCCCCAGCATGTCCAGAAAAGTCGTGAATGTCCCTCTATAATATCGAACAGACACATCACCAACCTATCCCCCTCCTACCAGCTCTCACCCCCCAGCCTCACCTCTCCTACTATGTAGTCTTCTTCCTCAGCAGTCCTCTATACACGGCGCATTTAATTACGTCACGGCGCCGGGTGACACGGGTGTTGGAGATCTCGACGAGTTGACCATTTCGACAGAACACAATCCCTCTGTCACTAGAGCACAAATATGTCTGCGCTGTGGGAGCCCTTTAAGTTGTAGTCAAACCTTTCTGTACGCAATATAAGAGTCTCCGGAAAGATGGCCGCTTCCTAGCAACCAGGAAGTGGAGACAAATGAGAGTACACAGTGGGGATGTGATGGGTGAGGATCTATGTTAGAAAAAATAGAGATTTATTATCTGTATAATACGGCTGGTGATTCCTCTGTGACACCATACACTGTCACCCCATATAGTCCTTCAGTCATTCACTGGTGGTCCCTCTGTGACCCCCATACACTCCTTCAGTCATTCACTGGGGGTCCCTCTGTGACCCCATACACTGTCCCCCCATATAGTCCTTCAGTCATACACTGGTGTCCCCTCTGTGATCCCATATACTGTCCTTCAGTCATACACTGGTGTCCCCTCTGTGACCCCATATACTGTCTCCCCATATAGTCCTTTAGTCATACACTGGTGTCCCCTCTGTGACCCCATATACTGTCTCCCTATATAGTCCTTTAGTCATACACTGGTGTCCCCTCTGTGACCCCATATACTGTCTCCGCCTTTAAAGTCCTTTAGTCATACACTGGTGTCCCCTCTGTGACCCTATATACTGTCCCCCCATATAGTCCTTCAGTCATACACTGGTGTCCCCTCTGTGACCACATACACTGGTGTCCCCATATAGTCCTTCAGTCATACACTGGTGTCCCCTCTGTGACCCCATATACTGTCTCCCCATATAGTCCTTTAGTCATACACTGGTGTCCCCTCTGTGACCCCATACACTTACCTCACATATAGTCCTTCAGTCATACACTGGTGTCCCCTCTGTGACCCTATATACTGTCCCCCCATATAGTCCTTTAGTCATACACTGGTGTCCCCTCTGTGACCCCATATACTGTCCCCCCATATAGTCCTTCAGTCATACACTGGTGTCCCCTCTGTGGCCCCATATACTGTCCCCCCATATAGTCCTTCAATCATACACTGGTGGTCCCTCTGACCCCATGCACTGTCCCCCCATATAGTCATATAATCGTGTCCCCTCTGTGACCCCATACACTGCACCACCTATATAGTCCTTCAGTCATACACTGGTGGTCCCTCTCTGACACTTAGGGGTCTAATTTGCTGAGCCATTTGACCTACGAATCACTTTGAATGTTCATTGTGTGCGAATAGCGGCAAACGAGCTTTCTTCATTTATTTTCTTTTGAGATTGACTGTAATGCTGCATCATGGCCACTAGATGGAGCTGCAGAGTGTAGAAAATACATGTTTCTCCTGTGCTCCTCAGCGTCATCTAGTGGCCATAATGCAGTATTACATTAAATTCAATCTGAAAAGAAAAATATATGCAATTTGCACAGAACAAACATTCTCAGCGATGCGCGGGGTGAATGGCTCTGCAAACTGTTTAGAATCAGATGTCTTAGGATTGCCACTTTTTATTTATTCCCAGAGAACCTAACAGGGCTGCTCCTGTAGTTATATGCACCCTATGTGTTGCTCAGCTCCTGACAACCATTGATGTCAGTGAGCTACACGTGACAGAGTCCTGGACTTGCACTGCCACAACACCCCCCCACCCCCTGTAGGAATGCCCCTGGTGACAACGCAGGGTCACAGCTGGGATACAGTTGTCACCCTATAACAGGAAGTGCCTGAAGAAGGATAATTATGGCAGGATCACCAGGGATTATTTTGAGAACATGCTTTGAGATATCATGTGAGATTTCAGTGACTAGCTCTGGTGACATTTTATACTGATGTTGGATATCCGCTCCTATGTTCCCGTCCTGCACACGGATACTACAAAGGTTGGCCTCGGGTGTCCTGTAGAAATAAGTTTGTTATTAAGGAAAGAAACAAGTACAGAGTTGTCTGGAAATCAGCCGATCAGTGCAGCGTTCCATTGCGGTGACCCCCTGTACACCGTCCCAGGAGATGTGTTTGGGGCTGCCTGTGAGTGGGATTGTTCTCCTTCTTCTGCTCCCTCCACCTCCCTCAAATCACTTTGCTTGTTCCAGGAAAATCGCTGACTGCAGACTTGGCAAGAGGCGGCTTGTAATTAACCATAAGCGGCCGGGGCTGACCGGGAGGACTGAGCATCGAGGATCAGACAGCGGTGTAGATGACAGCACCAGCATCCCATGACAAGGCCAGGACGGAGCTGGGTGCTGGGATGGACAGTGAGTGACCTATGTGGCGGGTAAGTGACATTTAAAGGGCAATCCTAACTAGTCAGTTACTTGACTCAGATATGGGTGGGGATCGGGCTGGCTGTGGGAGGTCTTAAAGGAGAGCTCCAGGAATGGACCAAATTAACACTTACAGTGGGGGGCTACACCTGTATTGCTTAAGTGCTCATTTTGATCTGGGGGCTGGATTCAAGAAGATATACCAATGTGATCCTCAGTCCCGCCAGACTGCTAGACCAGTCCACGCCGCCTCTTCTCCCCCGGGCTCCTGTGGTCTGATCCCCGCTGACATCATCACGTCTAATGAAGGTCCACTGACTTGCATTAGACGTGAGAATGCCAAGGGTCATACCACAGCTGGAGCAGAGGGGGGAGAGAGGTGAGCACTGACCGCGGGGACCGAGGATCAGGTCTGTATATCTTCTGTATTCTGGCCCCTAGCCCAAAATGAGCAGTTAACTCTTGCAGTGCTGGGGTAGCCACACTCCAACCATAGGGTTGCATAAAGACTGCCCTAGGTAACGCCCACACATGATGCCACGCCTCCAAGATGTTCTCCAGCCAGAAAATGAGGCGGGCTCTATCTGACTTTCCGAAGCTTCTAATGCACATTGTGAGAGGCCCGCACAGTGCACCAGTACAATATATACACATATTATATAGCTTCACCAGACATACATATATATATATATACATTGGGGGGAATTTATCAAAATTGGAGCAGCTGTGCACGGCAACCAATCAGCATCTCTCTTCAGTCTGTTCAGTTAAGATTTGAAAATGAAAGATAGAAGCTGATTGGTTGCCATGCACAGCTGCTCCAGATTTTGTCTGCTCCAGTTTTGATAAATTCCCCTCATTATCTCTCTCTCCCCCCATCTCCCCCCATCTCTTCCTCCTCTCTTCCTCCTCTCTTCCTCCTCTCTCTCTTCTCCCCCTCCTCTCCCTCCTCTCTCTCTTCTCCCCCTCCTCTCCCTCCTCTCTCTCTTCTCCCCCTCATCTCTCTCTCTCTCTCTCTCTCTCTCTCTCTGCATTACCAGCAATGTACAGACATCCTTCTTTTAGGATACGGAGCACTTTGTGTACATCTTGGGAGGTTTCCTGTTTCCACTTATATTGCTCCCTTCCAGTCACTGGAACCTCAGCCAAAACCTTTAGATGAAGTTGGGAAGGGTGAGCCCTCTCTCAGATAAGCACCACAAAGCTACATTACAAGGATTGTTAGAGAAATATTCAGCACATCTCTGCACATTTCTACATTTGTTTTATCCCTTTAAAAAGATGCAATACAGAAAAATGCCGGTTAACCCACCAGAAATCCAGTGAGCTCCCGGAAGCTTCCTTCCTGTTTGGGCTGACAACACAGCGCCTTTCCTGCACTGGAATCCCAACCAGCGTTGTATGAACTACATAACTCTGCCTCTGCCCCCCACCTGCCTCTGCCCCAATGCGTACATTGATATTCAACAAAACATTGTTGCTGCCTTGACTCCAAAGAGGCTGCCTATGCACCCTGTGAAGGAAAAGGGCTCTTGGGAGGAGTAGTTCTGGGGGTGTGCCTATATCAATAAAAACTGACCTCCCAGCAGCATTACTTTGTCAACTGACAAGCCTAATGACAATGTAATATCATAGCTGTCCCTGCCTACAGAAAGAGGGTGGAAGGAAAAACATAATGTTGGGACATTGGTACCCAGGACACCCTTTCCTCTCCCAGCTGGCTCTTGAACTCTGTTCAGTCTGCCCATGTCCATCCTCACCTACCTGCTGTTGTCACTTATTTGTTTTCCTTTCCACTTCTATCCCTTCTTTCCTCTCCTTGTTTCTTGGCTCTGCATTCTAGATTTCTTTTGATAAACAATAATAATAAATAAACAAACAAATGCTCACTTCTTCATATTAGAGAAAAAGGTGAATTTTTTATTTTTTAGAGCTGCAGGTAACGATTATTTGCCGATTATTTTTTTCAACTAATCGATTTGCTGTATTCAAAATTCTCTCTCCTCAACCAACTAATCGATGATGAGAATAGTTGCCAACTATTCTCATTGTCGATTATTATTGATTTAGTGGATTAGTTGTTGCAGCCCTATTATTTTTTGCATTGGAGCCAGTAAAGCCTTGCAACCACTATCAGTGGATCACGGGTCCAGTGCTCCGGCTCCTGCAGACTTTTCCTCCCGTCCGAGGTACGCACACTCAGTGACATGGACGGAGGAAGAATGAATGGACTACAAGGGCAGCGACATCGCCGCACTTGTGCTCCGTTGAGAATTATGGGTCTCTCTAGTGTGTTGGCTGATGGGACTTGTAGTCCCTCCATTCACAGGTCCTGTCAATGGATCTGTGAATGGATGACGCAGCTGTGTGCGCGGAGCCACGTCTAGCCGCAAATAATAAAAAAAAAGAGCAGCAGCCTGTGGGGGAGAAGAAAAACAT